GGGGGGGTGGCCTGAGAAAGCACACTCGAAAGTAGGTGGTGTGTAGGGGCGCACGGAAGCAAGGTTTTGGAGGTGCTTTTTTGATCCCCCGTGATTGTGGGCTTATAAAATGCAGATCCTTTTCCTTTACAAAATGCAAATTCCAAGACACATTGTATAAACATTAGGGTTTGTTTTTGTTTTTTTAAGGATAACGACATAAGATCTGGAGTATCGTCATTTTATAAACTTTACTAACTTGGACACCGAATGACAGTAATAGAGGGCAGGTGAACCCCGTAATCTCATTTATAAACATTCACTTGTCGAGTTGTCAGAGGATGGTCAGAACATGATTTCTCATTCTACAAAGATCATGTTCTGGACTGTCTAAAAAGGTATTGATTTTTCATATGTTTCAATAAATCCTAAATTTAAGAAATGGCCTCAAACCTCTTGAAACATCAGTGGAAGACAGGAACTGAAGGAATATGACCAGGAAAATAACTAAGAACTAAAAATTAACTAGCTACTTTTTCAAGAGGTTTGAGGCCATTTCTTAAAATTTAGGATTTTTGAAAACATATGAAAAATCAATACCTTTTTAGACACATTGCTTGTCTAATTCCTGTCTTTCATTACTGAAAATATTATACATTTGCAGAATCTGAAAAATTCAGAATCTGAATCATTACTAAAGAAAAACTATTTCAGAATCTTGAGATCTTGACATGACGAATTTTCATTTTATAAAGTATCCGGATTTGGCTTCTTACGGACATTTCCGATGAGCAATTCGCATTTTACAAAGGGGTTCTTCCTGGATGTCGATTTCTATCTTAACCTATCACAACCTGTGCTGGTCATTTATAAACTAGTTGGTTTTTCATGTTATAAACAAAAAACCTATCCCATACATTTTATAAAGCCGCAAAGTTTATAAAATGCAAAATCGGCGCCCCTACGAACCATCACGGGGGATCTTTTTTGTGATTTTTTAAAAATGCAATTGTCTTCGGTTGCTTGCAGTGTTATACTTGGCAACTGAATTGTAGCTACCCTGGGTATCCCTGGCAACCGCCTTTTGGCTGCCCTGGGTCCGCGCGCGCGCGCGCCTCAATCACGGGCAGCCGGGAGCCAGCAAGGCGCGCGCGCGGGTGCGCGCGCGGACCCAGGGTAGGGAAATTGAAGTGGGATACCTGGCAACAGAATTGTAGCTACCCTGGGTCCGTATAAATGCTATGTTGCTCTACCTCTTACACACCTATATCAGTAACTTCAATGCAAGAATGAGACTTCAAAGCTGTGGATTGCTGTGCGTGTGTAAAGGTTGTCGAGCGGTTGACAGAAAGGGAACTTGACGTACTATACCTGGTAACTGAATTCTAGCTACTCTGAGAGCTGAGTAAGACACTCGAAAGTAAAAACGTTGGCTTTCGTTTTGCAGTTTCTCAGGTTTCGTTCGCCTTGCTTAAAGACGGACCCGGTTGTGGGTGTGTGGTGTCACTCCTAGACCAATTCGTGTTCGAGCAGTTCCTGCCAGCATGTTGCAATCACACAAGATTCCCAAGGGAATGAATACCGCGCAGTCAAGCATCACGTGGATTCACTCGGTATGTTCTCGAAGCAATGCAGACGTTTGTTGGAACATCGAACGAGGCCGCCTGAGAATGTGCAGCAGCTGGAACGAGCTGGCGGTGCTGTTTTCCCCCCTGCTAGGTTCGGCAGCTGCAGTGCAGCTGCAGTGCTTGATTTTGACACACCCATTTGTGCTTGGGCCAGTAACGAAGGATCCTGGTCAGTCAATGTCGACTGGATGTTTCTTTAATTGATGGCATATCAGAATCTGCTTTTGGCCAACACAAGACTATTTTCATTGTTGGGGTGAGGCAGTTGCTGTAGAACTTCTTGCTGCAGACTTGACATCTACTGTAATTCCGGCGAAGGCAAGTAGTGAGTAAGGGTGCATGTTCTATATAATAGTCCTATCAGATTATAGAATAGAAGCGTATCAGAGTCACTGACTTGCACTGACTTGCCTGCGTCGGATGCAAAATCACCAGGTTTCCTTGACCAATTTCCTTGACGTATGCTGCTTCCTTATCTCGGAATGGCAGCGTACGTTCAATCTGAAGACCGGTCAACTGGAAAGAACTGCGAACACATCGATAATTTCCGCAATGCCCCAGAAGCAATCTGCAGAACCTGAGTCAACGGAGCCTCTCAAAGTGCAAATCATACATTCTGCGCAGCCACCAGGCCGGAAAGGAAGAATCTGCCTCTCTCACCAAAGCACAACTCAGCTCTATGTCCATCGCCAGCCAAGTTTCACTTTCGGGTTGATCCCAGGTGATGAGCTGCCCACGTAATTGATAAGTGTTTGGCACAAGAAGCGCAAATCCTGGGTCCATCGCTGCATAGTAGACCCGAGCTGGTGCAAAAATATGTTGTACTTAAGAGGGACCATGTTGCACGTTGGCTTGCACCGCACCCAAACTTCATCAGCGCGCGTGTACTCCAGTGGTAGCACCAGCTGAAGAAAGGATCATGTTGCTGTGTGTCATGTTGCTGTGTGTCATCTTGATGTGAAGACAACCACTGAAGGCAGCTCAGCTGGGGAAATGCACAAGCCGCCGAAAGTGGAATAGCATCCAATCATAGGTCCCCGGTTCTTGGTGACGTCTACAAGACTTTGAGTGTGTATTGGATGAGCAGAGGCATGAGAGTCACTGCAGATCTTGATGTCAAGTTGACATGCTTGCCGTGGTAGACTGCGACCAAGATGGCAGTGGCATGGGCATGATTTGGTTGAGTGGGGCCGCGCACAGCACCCGCGTAGTAATGGGATTGACTACACTCCAAGCCGCTTGAGCCAGATAGCAAATGGCCGGCTTCGAAGTTCAAACTTGGAGTATTGAACATTGCTGATGAAGGCTCCAGACTGTGGAGCAGTGGCCCGTTCTCGTTCAACTGTACATGCCTTTGTCCGAATGGAGTGGGGAACTCACACATCCACCTGGGCTGGTTCTCGAATGTGATCAGCTATATGATTGTTGTGTGCTCTCGTGCTCTTATGACTGTGCTCTCAGATGCGTGCTCTCTAGACCTTTGTGCATTTCTGAAACTCTCACTCTCACTCGCACTCACTCTCGCTCACACTCACCCTCACACTCACCCTCACACTCACACCCACTCTCACTCACCCACTCACTCTCACTCTCACTCTCACTCTCACTCTCTCTCTCTCTCTCTCTCACTATCACTCAAGCTCTCCCCCACTCTCACTCTCGACTCACTCTCACTCACACTCTCGCTCACTCTCACTCTCACGCTCTCCCCCACTCTCACTCTCGACTCACTCTCACTCACACTCCCACTCACTCTCACACTTACTCTCACTCTCTCACTCTCACTCTCTCACTCTCACTCACACTCACACACGCTCACACTCACACTCACACTCGCTCAGCTCTTTGAACCCCAATGCGTCTAGATCTCTAGACTTTCTGCTACTACACCGTTAGACCTCACACACACTGTTTGGGGTCTCTTGCCGGCATAGTTTTTGGCGGCCAATGTTGTTGAAGGCCTTCTTTAGATAAGCACTGCGACCGACCAAACTATACCAAACTATCTCTTTCCTGAAAAGCCCATTAGTGTTTACTTTGAATGCAAATACCATTTGAGGAGCTCGCCTGGCACCCCTGCAGGCAGCCAGTTGAGAACCTCGCACTGCTGCCGAAACGGGCGCCAACGGCCGACATGCCAAGAGCTGCCGAAAGGCCCAATTCAGTGGGGTGTTGGGGGGTTATGTTGCGCGTAAAGTAGTTTCAATTGTGCATCAAACCTAAGCGCATCCCATCATGTCAGGGGATGTTTGGGAGGAAAGCGAGCTAGAGTGTAGAGGAAGCAGAGAATACGAAAACAGCATGATAAGTCAATTTGCAAACACATGTAGTGGAGAAACCATCGAACAAAAACGACCAAACTTTGATTTGAGAACAAAACATACTACATATTTGGCTTGGTGTCGAGGGTACAGTGGTAGGGGTGCTTGATCTTTGTGTTCAAGGCTTATTTATATATTGGTGGACGGTTTCTCAGCTCAAGTTGTTCAGTCCGGTGAATCAGGACACCAGTTCATGGTTCGGGAAGTTGCTGTTTGTCAAAACAAAACCATACATGTATGAAACAACATGTTTGCTCACGGGGACTATTCAACATTTATAGAAATAATTGATCACAGAAGTTCATGTGTTTGAAAACGATTTAGACGATGTCAGTGATGTTTTGTTAAGGACAACATCACCTCAACTGATTGGTGTCGTGGGAGCAAAGTACAAAGAAGGGCACGACACGACTTCGGGCATATTGAAGAGAATCTGTGCAAACCATCTTAAACCTATGCAGTTTGCTGATGGCAGAAACTTATGAAGCATCCGTAGCAATTTCAACAGTGGTTTCGTCCTGGCACACTGTCATACACTGTTTTGCTCTCTCCTGTGTCCACCAGAGCTTGGGCACCAGGTCAGAACAGGTATTGAATGAGGGGTATTGATTGAGGGTCCCAAGAGTACTTGTGAGGTACCCGATCCGACTAGGGTTCTGTACCAGTCTTTTCATGAGAACCTTGACGTGTTATGACGTGTTCTTCCTTGGCATTTCGGCTGCTGATTGTTTGTTTTAAATCGTATCATGTTGCTTTCTTGTTAAATTATTCTGGAAAGGATCACAGCCATGGTAGGATGGAAGCCAAACCCTGCACAATTGCTTGAAACTCGTTCCGTACTTGTAGTGGCACAACGAAGACAACTATATAAACCAACCGCACTTTTGTTCACCGTAATGATCTTGAGCTCCGCACAAGGCAGACAACTGAAGCATCTTGGGGGCTCTTTTTCATCTTTGTACACCTTTTGGATCAATTCTTCACTGTCCGCTCTTCAACTCCGGAGGCCGGAGAAAGTTGCATGGCCGGAACGAGAACCGCCTGCAATCTGTGACATTTCGCATCTGCCTGTGGTGAGTCCCGCGGGGGAATAGGCGGTCGGTCATTCTTTGGTGTGGATGGTTTCTCCTCACAGGGTGCTGGCACCAGCGACATGCGGGGTGCTGGCACTGGCAATAGGATCCAACCCACATGGAACTTGTTTTTCTTGATCCAACCCACAGAGCTTGTTCTAAATTTGATAGCAAGTCTGTCTTGCCCTTAAACGGGATGGGTTGGGGGCCCTTTCGGCCTTGTCAGTTGATGGCCATTGATACTTGTGACCCAGCTGGTGCTTCACGTGGAGAACTCCCGCTGAAAGAGACCTCTGACCTCTCACCTTTCGAGATCGACAATGCTTGTCAGGTTGGTTTAAAGGTTACCGTAAGCTGTAGGTCAACTACCTGAATGGTTCATCCCAGCTAAGGATTTGCACATATTTATGCAATAAACCCGGACCCTATCTAACCACCAACGTACGCAGACGGTACCTTTCCATCAACATTGTGTCATTCTCCGCTGCGCCACTCAGAAGACAGTGAACAGATGGACATTACATGAATGAACCAAGCACCGACGTACTCTGATCATCTCTGATCCTCAAATTGCCATCAACTTTCGCCATCGTCGTTCCACACCCAACTGTCGAACTCCCTCTACACCTTCCCAGGCAAGCCACAGACGAACACCTCACGCAGCGGCCCGAACGAGCTCCACCAGCCATTGCCAACATCCCGCAGCAAAAAGTGGAGAGGCCCCGGGGGGAGCGGGACAGTACTCTGCTAGGCTCTCTAACGGGCCCAAGACTGCGGACGGATCCACTGATCCACAGATGAGTACTCAGGTGTTCTGGCTATCCCTATTCCTTGAGGGAATCCAAAACATTCAAGGTAGGGTTCCTTTGGCCTCAGGCATTGTTTTGCCCATCCCACTGCTTTATCTTGATTGCCTTCGATCTTCAGCCACCCTCTCGGCGCGCAAACCAATGCAGCCGATGCAAACCATTTGTCCCAAGAATCGCTGCGCGTCGCTGCAAACCATTCGTCCCCATGGTTCCCTACGTTCGGCAGGGCAAGAATCGCTTCTTTTTCGCCTGTTACATGGAGAGAAGAGTTGTTTTTTGAAAGAATCTGACAGAGTTGCTTTGCGCCCAACGAGCTAGCATCTCACGAGTTGTCCAATACTAGTATCAGGCAAGATGAGCCAACATGCCATCAAGTCAAGTCCTCCTTTCGTTTGATCAAGATGAGAAACTAGGTTTTCCGCTGCGTTGAGTAATTACTGTGTGTCAAATCCTGAGGAGGGCTCGATCATTCTATTTGCCGAGCCACGTCTTTAAGCTGATTTGGGATTTTGTGGAGAGTTACCGAGAGCTGCGATGCTTGATGTCCTGTTCCAAGGTGGGCACTGGATTAGCGATGCATGTGGATTGGGCATGTAGAGGATCTATGAGGATCTCATCATGTTGGACAATCTTGAACCACCTGGATGAGAGTATTGAGCTGGCTCAACCGCTGCGAGGCCCCTCCCATATGTCGTGTAGCTCTCGGAACTACCCATGTGCATCCATTTGTAAAACGAAGACAGGTGTGAACATGGCCCCTTTGCAAAGTTCAGTAGAGTCCCTAACTCTATGAATCGGTGTTTATTCGACATGGCATTGCCTCTACCTAAGGTGGTGGAAAGTGGTTTACGGGTGGACTGAGGGTAGTTATTGTAGGATATTGTAGGTTGATGTGAATTTTGATTGACCATGGAGCGCAGCTGAGCCAAGTTCTTTTAACGTACACATTAATACGAACGCATAGGCACCCCACAAGCATTTCGACACGGAAGGTCTGTCATAGTCTATAGGCTATAGGCATTTGTTGTAGGCAACTTCCTGATGAGCACTTAGTGACTCAAGTTGTGCCACACTGTACAATAAACTTGCATCAATTGTGTCCAGCAGCTGGTGTGAACCACATTGACCCCTGTGAGCTACACATGCGTGTGGCACCCGGCACTTCTGGGATCACTGGTTGTCATGTTTTTAGATCGTTTGTGGTCTAGAGTCTATTTTGTCGAATCAAGAGTGGTGTGAGGAATCCCTTGGATCGGAAGATATGTCGCAGGAGTGGGAGAAGGGCATTTGGCCACTGCTCAAGTGTCCAGCCGGCCCAACTGATCGGCAAAAATGTGGCTTGAAAGAGATATCGCTGCGATGTGGGCATAAAATTTGCGGAGGCTGCTACTTGGCACAGTTAACAATATAATATATATTATATAGATAAATATATATATATATATTATATATTGAAGGTTCTCCAAGACAGCTCAGCAAAGAACTATGGCATAATGTCCATTTGTCTCCTGTTCAATCATGTTCAACCTGAATTCCATGAACGTTTGACTTTCACGATGACTGAAACTACATTGAATGGCAAGCTCTTGCCCCCCCAACTGAGGCAAAGACAAGCAGTCAAAGTGCCCTGTTTGCTGGCGTTTTCCGCGTGATGAAGGTGATTACAATTCCCTGAAGTCTATGGACAACCCGCGCACCTCAGAGCCCTCACAGAGAGACACTGCGAGCCTCTACTCCATCTCGGAGGAGGTGCAGATCCCAGATCGATGCATTTGCAGGCCAAACGAGAGCTTTGCCAAATTGTTTTCCGTGCAGCAGCCAGAGGAGCGATGGTTTGCGGGACATTCTCCCAATTCTCTACATCAATGTGTTCCATTTAAACGAATCCGTAAATCCTGGTTGGGTTGCTTTGTCAGCTTGGGATGATGGGGGATGTTTGAAAGAAACATGGATTCATTTGAGTACTTTTGATATGGTTCATCCAATGGCTGAAGAAGACTGCCATTGATGACCAGAATGGTGCGTCCAAAGTCGGTTCCAAGCTTGTTTGGAGGTGTTGAATGCGCCTTCAAATGTGTAATGATCATTGCATATCATTTAGTGTTTTTCTAAAGGTCAACCATCATCAATTTGTCCACTAGAACTGGGCCTGTTCAACAAATGTTTGTTTGGAGGGAGCAACTTGTAGATGCTCAATTTTTGTGTGGGTGTTGAGCAAACCTGTGCAGTCAAGGAGGAACATCATCCACTGGACGTCACGGAGAGCTACTGGGCCCAACATTATTTTCCTGATGCTCGCGCCACGACGGTGGTGAGACACTGGGTGCTGATACGCGAGGGCAAGCAGAAGGTGGCAAAAGTGTCTGGGGCTCCCAGTGTTTCCGGGAGCTTGGGTGTGGCGTTGGCGCTCAACAGCAAAACGCGAAACCTGCTCATTGTGCACAAACATACTCCTGATTCTTGAAATGCGGTCCAGCATGTTGACATGCCATCTTAGAGCCGGCCTCTCCATTTCAGAGGGCGTAGGAGTCAGAATGCTTGATCTCCAATTGGGTGTGTGTGTGTGTTACTATAATTGCAACTGAAACCAGAGTAATTCCTGCAAGTAGTGTTTTTCCGGCTAGTGAGCAGTGTTAATTGCGTTCCTGTCACGCACTGTTGTTTCTTAAGAACTTGGTGGACTGATGCACACTCTCTCCTGGTAACTCCCTCACCTTTAAATGGTCTCAATGGACAGCCGTGTTCATCAATCAGTATGGCCGGCTCAGGTTCTTTTCCACTGGAGCCATCCAATTTCTAACGCTCGACCTCAGACAGTATGAGGTGCGAACCTGTTGTGACAAACAAGATAAAGAAGGACAGTTACTGGGTAGTTCCAGACGATTAGAAGGAAGAGGTAGGACTTCAGCAAGTTCTGCTTCACGTCATTTCATGTCCAGTTGCAAGCCTGGGTTCATCGCCAAACATGCAGGAGATAAACCGACAAAGTATGTTATTCCTCCCGTTTGTTGAAGTAATGAGAAGTGCTTAGAGGGAGCAAAGGAAAAAGGATAAAGGACGAGGAGAAGGAAAGAGGAACAGGGGTGAAAGAAAAGGCACTGAAAGCATACGACAGCAAACCAAAGGACATGAGGCAAATCGCAGCACACGAAACGAAAATGAATAAAGGCCAATGTTAAGGAGTTGCCCAAGCTCACCGAAGGGTGTTGTCAAAAGCAAAGTAACACGCCGGTGATGCTCATGTTGGATCTATACATTGGTGACTGCGACTTGCGGGGAGAATTTCTCGCTGCTGCGGGGTAGTGCAAGGCAACCAATCGGCCATGAGGTTTAAAGACTCTGAGCTCCCTTCAAACATGAGCAATGGCCCCCACTTGGGGAAGCGGCTCAGTCCTTGTTCAAAGGCATCCCCACTGCCCACATCGGCATGCAACTGCCCAGCCTAGATGGTAGTCTTTTTCAGATTGACTCTTTACTGAACACTATGAGTAGCGAGGGCCAGTTTTCACCCCAGAAAGCTGTGACATGACATACTGTGACCAAAGTTGCACAGCCGCTGCAGGAACACAGTTACTTCCACTTGACCTCGAAATCCTGCGACACCGAATTCGCTGCCGCTGCTTGGTTTGGTGATCAGGTTCTTTGAACAATTGGTGTGGCAATGATCCTCCAAGTTGGTGTGCACCTGAATACACAGCTACACTGCTCCCTGCGGCGGTGTGAGCGCTTTGTTGATTACTGGGGATTTGTCAGCGATGCCACTTCGTTCGCATCTTTGGAATAAAGCCGCCTTGGTTGGTCGAGTGGGAACAGTTGCTGAACCCCACATAGGAGGAGGACATCAAGTTGAATGCAAGAATTCCAGAGAGAGTGAGTGGTCTTTTGATGGCTGCCAACTCGGGCCTATGCGTTTGCTGATCATGACCAAACAACCCTCCTTTGTGCTGGCACAAGCCATGATGATAGATACTCGCATGACTTGTGTTGGAGGTAAAGATCCTACAGCGTCGGAAAATGTCACCTTCGACAGGCTTTGTGGAAGCTATGCCAAGTAGTGTTTCCAGTGTTTCCCATAATTGTTCTTGTGCTGTGAGCGGTGGAAATCCTTCACCTCCTGGAAGCCAGTGAAATGTTGCGATGACTGGATAAAACTCGCAAGAGATCACTGGAGAAAATGCTTCCCAAGTACCCAAAACAACAACACTTCAAGGCAGGCGAAGGCTGCTCTAATGACTCAGGTTCAAAACGTGCTGGCGCAGACTGCAGCAAGGCACCGGTAGTTGGAACTGGCGGCGGTCGTGATGGAAACACAATTCATTTGGAAGAAGAATATTGGTATATATCGGGATTATATTTCCATACAACCCCCACTACATCATATCATATGTTCAATACAAAGGAATCCAGAAAGATTTTTGATTTTTACCGATCATTCATTCTGAAGGTTGATTTAATGATTGAAATATTTAATTCAATTCTGATAAATTGGTCAGGCCAAAAAATAGATGGAATCGAATAAATCATAATTTCAATTAATGAAATAGAATGTCAAGAAAAAAGATATATATATATATACATAGAATATTAATAATTAAAATATAATATGTAAATATAATTAAATATATTCTTTTTATATATATAAATATCATATATAATTATATATATAATCTAAAATGTATTAAATGTATTTATTTATTGTTGTAATTAAGGTATTTTAGTTATATATATTAATTACAATAATTATGGTTATTGATATATGTTGTTTTATTTTAATTTAATTGAAAAATTAAATTAATATATATTGAATTGGAACAAATATTTGAATATAGCTTGAATTGATAAATGGGAATTGATTATAAATATAAATCTAAGATTTATGAAAGGATATATTTTGTTAGCATTTGGAATTATATTGTTTTTATTGCGATTAATTCGCGATATTTTTGATATTAAAATCGACCATTATAAAAGGAGATATCGATATTATATCGGATGATAATTATATTATAATTAAATTAGATAATATATTTTTTGCCTAAATATTGCCTTTAATAATGATAATTAATAAAGCAAAGAATTGAAATATAAAATAATATTTCGGTGAGGCTTTGTATATAATATTGTTATGTATGAGAGCGTTCTTTCGTGATTGATATTGTCGGGATCGCGGTTGATCGGCGATTATAATTACTTCAAATATAATATTTTTATGGGTATTTTGATTAAAATTTAAATTAATATTAAAATTATTGATATAATTAATATATTTTTTTTATATTTATATTTATTATCGAAATTATAAAACAAATATTTATTTAATATAATATTAATAAACTTCTACAAAAAATCGAAGGGTTGATAGCATATTTTATATTTGAATTTATGTTCGTCGGTATAAGACAGAAATGGGTTGTACATTTAATGTGACATCTAGAGTTGAATTTGGCCCACATTTCCGGAAAAAATTGAATTCGATACGCTAGAATTCGATCGTACATTGCCGTTGGTTGATCTAGTTAGCTACTAACTAAGATTGATTATTGATATTGGGGAATTTAATTTGATTTGAGACCTCCTTGATGGCGATTGCTCCTGCTGGATCCTTTATTGTTTCGGCTAGTGGATATATTGGTAGATTATAAGGAGTACCGGAAGAGGTTGATGTTGTATGAAAAGAATATATTTTTAGTTGGCCATGAAAAGGAAACAGTGTTTAATATTATATGCACCTTGAAAGGTCGAACATGGGACGCCTGTGAGGATATCCTAATGGGCCACTTAGAGGGAGGCGACTCGATGAAATTCATCCTGGATCGCTTAGACAAGATCTTCAAATTTGACACTATGACAGAACTTCCAGGTGTCTTCGAGAATTTCTTTGTGATTTTAATTCGCAAGAGAAATGCCACTCTCCAAGAGTACTCCGGCGACTTCGAACGTGCCCTTCCCAAGTTGGAAAGTCATGGAGTGACCCTGCCTGATAAGGTGGTTGGTTGGTCCTTTCAGTGAGTCAGCGGCAAAGGGTCATGTCCTCCATCGGCACTGATACCTTGAGTTTGGAGAATGTCCGAAAGGTGATGAATTTCGTTCTCGGATAAGATAGTGTGCCGGATGGTCATGACAAGACAGCAAAACAGCAACGCTGGAGGCCACCTTTTGTGAAGGATTCCATCTACCTCGAGGAGGAGGAGGAGGAGGATGACTACCAGGACGATGATTTCGCTGTGTTGTTTGCTGATGAGACCTTTTAGGCAGAAGACCATGAAGAGTATGACGACGATGAGAATGAGGCCGAGATCCACGTCATCTCCGACGACATGGCTGCCGAGTATAATGATGTGCTGGTTGGCTACACTGAGGCCAGACAGAAATTGAATGTCCTTCGAATGTCCCGAGGGTATTACCTAGTGGTTATAATGATTCCTGAACAAGGCCAAGGAAAAGCTTATGCAACCTACTCCACGGGCAAGGGTAAGGGCAAGTCCAAAAGCAAGGGCAAATCTGGAGGAAAAGGTCAGAGCTTACGTCAACAGCCCAAACTTCCATCGGCCAAAGCCAGAGGCCGTGCAGCTCTTGGTGCCGAGAAGTGTTTGAGATGCAGTCAAGCAGGCCATCGAACAAGGAATTGCCCAGCAGCAAGGAAGCGCAAGGCTGACTCGAACATTGAAACAGTTGCCAACATGGTCTATGATGAGGTGCAGCTGACCGTTGACGAGAAATCAGGTCGTTCAGATGACATTGCCATGATGGATTGTGGTGCCGGCAGTGTACTCACCTCTGAGGAACACTTGAAAATCTATCTCCAATTCCTCGAAGAGTCAGGCTTCAATGTCAGTGACATCCTTGTGTTTCGTTGCAAGAAGGGCTTTCGCTTTGGCAATGGCGAGAAGAACATCACTTCCGTTTGTGTTTTGGTGCCCACATTCATGAAAGCCTTGAGGCGAGACATCCTGATGTATGTCATTCTTGGGTCAGCACCCTTCCTGTTTGGAAGACCCTTGATGGACGCTTTGGAAATCACCATCATTACGGCTCAAGAAAAATGAAATGGGGTCCCAAAGCATGGAAGTTGATCCCTCGTGGATCTCGAGGTGAGTTCGTTTGCCATATGGCATCAGACATTGCCAAGTTGGCGAAGAAGGAGCCAGAAAAGGTGTTGCTGCCCGATGACTTCAATGAACACGTGCATCCTGAGATCCTGTTTGTCGACATGTTCTTCAATGGTGGCTCAGATGGAACGCTGAGCATGAGTGAGGATGCCGTGAACAGTGTGATGGATGAGGCAACGAAATTTTCCCCTGCAACCGAGAAGATTGGCCTGCAAATGGTGCATGAGGCATGCGAAAAGAGTGCAAGATCCTCAGTCTGTCTGGAGAGGCCATACCATTGAATTCATCATTTAAGACCACCTGCCGTCCTTGACCTTGAGGATGGAGAGGAGATTGTTACCGAGGAGGTCAAGTTAAATCCAGGGCCACAAGAGAGGCTTGGGTTGACCAGGCTCTTGAACCATTTGGACGTTCGCAAAGTACAATCTTGCCACGTCTTCGTTGCTGCTCATACACCACAGCGCAGAATATAAGCACATTGTCATGGTCCCAGATGAGCTACTCCTCAAGTTTCTCTGCATAACCAGGTTTGGATGCAACACTCAGCTCTTGAAATTGGCTCCATAACTTGCAGGTTGGAAAAAACAGCACAGCATCTAGCTCTTCCTTTCGCAGCAGTCGAAGAAATGACACACGGTGACGTGAAATCCCAGTCTTCCGAAAGTGAAAAGTCATGAGCGATCATATTCTTGCGTCGACATGCTGTCTTTGTCGCCCGACCCTCACCTGCAAAGACTTCCCACAATGAAAAAGGTCGATCTCCAGATGATGTTATCTTCACTAGAATGGCTTGCAGGACTTCTTCAATCTTTTCTATTTTCTTCTTAGTGTCCTGCATCAGTTGACGAAGTTTTGCAGGAATCAATGCAGCTGGATCCGATCAGGAAGAACCGAGCACTTCGAGCTCAAATTGGACCTCGTGCAATAGACTACGTCCAGAGGCTTCATCGCAATCTTGGCCATCCTGGTTGGGAAGTTCTGCGTAGGATGTTTCGTGAAATTCAAGCAACAGATAATGTGTTGTTGGCTGCCAAGTTCACTTGTCCCTTGTGCTATGCTCGAAAGCCTGCATCTGCACTGAAATGCACAGAGTTCAACGATCGCATCCTGGTTGACAATCACTGGACTTCCCGCGAAGACAATGTTGTGAAGGAGAGAGTTCTGGCCCCAGGAACACCAGCTGCCCGCAGACGTGAGAAAGACAAGAAGGAGAAGAGACCAATTTGTCGTTAATGTGTCCTCACGATCATCGATCATGCTACTCGATACTGTGCCATCCGAATCTTGCAGTCAGAGGAGGCAAAGGAGTTCACCAAGGGCATCGAACGTTCGTGGATTGGGATGGTGTAGTGAGCATGTTCGTGCTTGGGCAACCCGGAGAAGAATCACCTTAGAGATACAACCTGCTGAGAACCATAGTTGGCTTGGTATGGCGAAGCGAAAGCATCAGGTCGTGAGACGAGCTTTGGAGCTGTACATAGCTCAACGTGATGACCACTCCCTGTCGTCTTTGAAAGAAGCCGTTTTACATGTTCCACACTCCATCAACCAGCTTTCATTTCACAAAGGTTCACACCTTAGCAATGGGTCCTTGGCAAGTCCATGAATTAACTCCATGGATTGAGTGGTAAGTTTTTCAATCCGGTTCAAGAAGCAATTGATGAACGAGGGGTTTTCGTTGCCGTTCAGGCAAGAGGTGCTGAAGCTGCCAAGGCATTCATACATATCGATAGTGACGCCAAGCTGAGGAGAGCCTTCAACCAAAAGTTCTCTGAGATGCAGGAGGAACTGGTGATTGGCCAACAGGTCTGGTTCTGGCGCAAAAATTTGAGAAGATTTCACAAGTCTGGCTGGCGCGGACCAGCTCGAATTGTCGCGATTGAAGAGCAACAAGATGTGAATGTCTATTGGCTATGCCATGGAACGTCCTTGGTTCGTTGTGGAGCCAGACAAGTCCGGCCATTAGTTGAAGATATTGACATGCCGGTGGTCGTTGATCGCAAAGCCGCTCTCCGTGATCTACAAGATCTGAAGGCCAGATCGACCACACAGTTTAAAGATGAGTTCAAGAAGGCTGGGATGCATGATAACACAGCCGACCTTGATGGTGATGATGTTGAGCTCGATGCCAGCTACCAGCCTAAAACAATGATGTTAATGATGAAGATGATCTTCGTGAAGAGCCACCCATTCCTGGAGTGGTCAGTGTTTTTCTGCCATAATTGGAGCTCCCCATGATCGTAAACGAACATTTCGTCGCTGAGAGTCAATCCAATCGACCTTGGCACCTCCAATTGAGAGAGAGAGAGAGATGAGCCACCAACACCATGAAATCCAAAGAGAAAAAGCGACAATGAATGGATGGAACCAATATCCCCATGCCTGATGATAATGATAATTTGATCCTTGAAGAAGTTCACCTCACAGAGTTGCCAGCAGATGCA